AACAAGGTTATGCAGGATTTCAATGGTACTAGGGGGTTAGGGTTAATGAAAGGCCTAGGAGCAACTGAAATACATGTAACATCCTATCAGCAGCTGGAATCCCAAGCCAACATGTATGCTGTATCCATTTTTTTTCGATCACACACTGAGTTGGATGGAAGCATTTTCCTCAAGGAGTTGTTTTGAAATATTCAAGTGCCTTTATAGTTTTACAATGTACATTTGAGTTGAAAAACAGGTGCATTCGTTGATAGTGTACAGAATTTAAGGGTGAGGCGGTATCAAACAAGTACTGCATGCTTCATTTGTCTGACTTTGATATCAATACACAGGGAGTTGAACCACCAACTCGAGGCTGGGTAGCTTACATGTACTTGGCAGAGTGCAGACACAGCGTTACTATGTTCAAATCCAACCCCCGTCAATTTCTTTGCTCATCCTCATGAACGCCGACTGCGTTAACTAATAAAACTAACTGCCTTCAATGCTCTGTTGATCATTTCAGTTTCCCTTCAGCAATCCACACCTGTACAATATCCATCAGATGCCCCACATGAAACACGGGACCCAAGAGCACAAACGTGGTCAATAGGAAGACAGATAGGGTGGTATACCGGCAGACCTGCCAAGCTGTCGTACTCCTTCCTGAGGTCAGGCAATACCACAAAATAGATTCAAGGTATCTAAATGAGCCCTCCGTTTGTTTAAAATTCTACTCTATTGTGTGGTGATGCCTGACCTCAGGAAGCAGTGAGGCAGGTTGGCAGGTTTGTACCAGTAAGTAAATGTACGTTGTAAGGGAGGAGACTTATTCAAATACATAAACTTTCTCTAAACTACCTCTTGCAACTACATGTGAGCAATGCTTTGCCAGACTGATGGTGAAAGCCTACATACATGTCTATGTATACCAAGTGATCGCTCTTCACAAGAACACTTTCTTATTTCGCAGGCCAGCAGGTGCAAGGTCATTCGGAGATGCCTTCTCAATAGCCGCCAACTTTATCCAAAGGTTGAACAACTCTCACAGTAGCACTTTAACTATATCTGATCCAACATGACAAAATACGCGGAGGGATAGAGAGTCCCCTTAAAAATCCTCTAATGCAAACACCAATTCTGGACAAGTCCTATCCGTCAGAATCAGTCAAGTGACTGCTTTTAACAGTTTAAGAGTCCCCTGCCGACAGAAAGCAGAATTGACTGGCAAAGACTCTTGACACACGTATACATGTGCAGGTAACTTAGGCAGTGTCCAAATTACTTGGCTGTGGCTAGAAATTACACCCGAGTCTGTGGTGGTGGCCGTGGCTGGTTCCCATTGAGTCGTGTGTAATTTCAAGCCACAGCCAAGTGATTCGGACGCAGCCTTATATACTAGTAAAGTACATGTATACTTTGCTGATGACTGATAAACCAGTCACCTGTTTTTGTCTATTGATTGAATTTGACTAGTCACAATTCCAAGAAGAACTATGATCTGCTGGTTGTAAGACCGTGTATAGAGTGCAGAAGGGGAAGTGGATGCAATTTTTGGCTCTCTGGGGTACATGTAGTTATAACAAGGAGGGTTAATTATGGGGTAACAGTTTCTGAAGCAGTTTGGCCGATATGTGAAATACCCCTTTCGCATGATACCAAACAGTAATTTTCGGCGAAACTTAACTTGCTGTTTTTTTGGTCATGCTGGGTTCTCAAGTACTCCCTTCCAATGCAGATGACTTCTTCTCTAATTCATTAGCTTTTCTTTGGCTCGGTGGGGGGGGGGAAGCTCCATGATCACGATATGTGAACGTTCTCCGTTGCGGCAATCTTGATGACCTTCTGCGGCGGCTTGTCCTTGTAGTAGCAAACCTGGATCAAGATGGCCACATCCATGGTGACCTGAATGATGCCGCAAACCCAAAACTGGGGCGGCGCCTCCTTGAGGACAAAATAAATCGTCTTGAAGACGTCCCCTGAGAGCCAGCAGCATACCATTTTCACACTGGGAGAAACAAAGAGAGAATTTCAGCGGCTCCCCAAACTGCAAAAAAACTTGTATTACCGGTATCTAACACATGTTAACCCCTTTTGACCGTGACTGCTGGGCTGCGGTATGCCCAGTATGCAAAGCTCTGTCCGACAGCAGGCCCCATTGAACCAGCAGGTGCATGGTGGATAGAATGTACGTGTGGTATGCACTAATCCTCACACAAAGCCATGACTGTGGACGGCTCCGGTATGAAGTGGTTAATGTATAATATGTACTCACTGATGACAACCACTTTCAGGAAAAGTTCATACTTGTCCAAATTGATTGACTAGGGCTATGAACACTTCATGTGCATGTATCTACTGAACTGCGTGTATGTTTGAAACAAGGAATCATTCATTGGATTTTAACAATTGAGCACAGCAAAATGGAAAAGACTTGGAGGCTCAGGGGTGTAATACGCTGGCTTTGAGTCTATGACATTCATGCTGGAAATTTCAGTTATATGGGAGACATTTGCCAACACATGTAGGATGCCAATACACCTGTATGTTCTCTCCAATTTGAACGAGTCTGAAACCAGCCTGCTGCAGGACATGCTACAAGTGTAGGATTTCATTTCGGATGTAACAAGCTTTCCTGTTATTGCCATGGGAGGATCTCTTTTTCATAAATGGGTAATTCCAGAAATTAGGGGTCCAAAAGTCTGACCTTTGTTATTTGACATGGAAATATGGTAATTTCCATTAATTCATCACTCTTGGAAATTAGAAAATCTGTTCTGAACTTACAAAATCATCTTTCAGATGTGACACGGCCAGGAAAAAAAATGGACACCTAATTTCTAAAATTACCCAAACAAGTAAGTTTTGCTTTACCTCATACCAACTGTAGACTTATTCTGGAAGTTGCGATAAAACTGCGGCATGCCCAGCATTGCTTCCACAAAGACGGCTAGAAATCCCAGCGTTTCCACAAAGATGGACTGGCCCGCTAGAAAGTATGTGATCACTCCACCGAGTATGGAGAAGACGGTTATAAAAATAACATAGTCCACAAAGTACGTCCAATTCCAGAAATTCTTTGTCTCAAAATCTGTAAAAAAAAAAAAAAAAAAGTGAGGGACAATTCCAGCCAAGGCATTTCGTGATGAAATGTGGGGATGGAAGATTACTCCGTGGACTGAAACCTCGATGAAACTATGAAGTGCATAAATTTGTGGAGTGTACAAAAACTCTGTATTGCAAAGCAGTTACGCCTGCAGCAGATGGCAATGTGTACATGTTTACGTGTATGCGCCTGACAAAGCAATGGTGTCTCTAGATTTTGTGTCCAGGGGGTGCAAAATATGAGCATTTTTCGTGATTATCCAAAGTTTTTCCGTCTATAGCATCATCCATCCCCCAAAAGAAAGGTGCTAAAAACTTTACCACTTAAGACGTATGAGTAATTTCAACAAGCCAGTTTTTGTGTTCCAACAGTGCATACCCTTAATGGAGTGTGTCGGAGGTCAATCGGGAACAGCTACAATGTACACGTATGCGCGCACCAGGTCAGCCTTATCATCTGTATTCTGGCACGCACACCGGCTGAAGATGTGGAGTTAGCGTTTAAAATGATCGGGGGCAGGGGGCACAAACCAACACCTGTGCCCAGGCCCCTTATTCACTGCTGTCATCCTGGCAAAGTTGGCTTCCAAATTTTGGATGTTCTGAAGATGCAAGTGTCTTTTCAATATTCCAGGAAAAAAAAGACCTATATTACAGTGTTAGGACAAACCCCACACCTGAAATTTCCATTCATTCTTGTTTAAATACACCTGTGTTGGCTCTGGCTCCATCTGCACAGCACACTGACATACTGGAAAAATGCTGAAGATGCAAATGTTGGCATGCGTCCAACCCTGATTAATTACCCTCTGCAATCTCAACTGCTTTTCCCTAGAAACACTCACGTGTAGCATTTGTGACCATATGAATGCACCTATAAAACGATGCATGTTCATGCTCTTAACACGGTCCAATCATGTTCTAAACCACAGACATGAACGTGATACCGGTTTTTCAATTTTCATGCAAATTAATGCACAAAATAAGTTTTTCAGCGGCCATGATGCGGTTGGGGCCTGGCTAAGGCCACTGCAACTGTTGCAAGAATACTTTGTAGGCTGAATTTTATATCTGACAGTCCATGTTCTACTGAAAACACTGCTAAATCAGTCACAGGGAAAATATTGACAAGAATGTAATATCAAATCAGTGCTCTGAAATATGTGATTGCCGAGCTTTCGGTAACTGAGTACCTTCTTCAGGGCAAGCAGGTAGAACTGAATCTCCTTGCCCTGAAGAAGGTACATGTACTCAGTTACTGAAAGCTCGGCAATCACATATTTCAGAGCACAGATTTGATATTATATTCTTGTCGATATTCTGATCACGGAGCTACGCAGCCCTTCCATATTTTACAGGGAAAATATTGATCAGTTTGGCAAAAAAGAGACAGGAAGGAAGGACAAAGTTCCCCACCATATCTGACAACAATGTTTATGAAGCAAGGTCTGTTTAGCACAAAAAACTCCATATGTCAAAGAAATGCATCGTGCAACTTCTCTGTACTGTCTGATTAATTGATTCCAGGAGATTTTATTAACAGACAAGCATGCATGTACATGTACCGATATGATGCACTACAATCCAGGAAGCAGACAAACTGGAATCTTCGGCCTGACAGCTGGGTCATACTTGGCAGGAAAGCAAGCGCTCGTGCTGAAAATCCAAAGAGTTGAACATTTTTCCATTCCCGGGGAATTTTTGCCAAAAAACTCTTGCGATATCAGACTCACTCAAGGACCTTTTCACTAATACATGTAAATTCTCATTTATGGACCTTGAGGCGAGGCACAAGTGGTCCACTGAATCAACGCAGTGCTACACATATTCTTGTAGTCCTTTCCTCTTAAATTCTCTAGGATTTATTATTTTCTTCTTCAGAAAATTTACTGAAATCATCACAGCTACGATACTACTGTATGCGCACCACGTACCTTACAAACCTGCATGAACAGGCTTTTTGATGCACAAAATGAAGACTTTAAAAACTGATAAGACCCAAAGCGCAACAACGTAAAAAATACCAGAGCAAACCTTTTCTCACAAGCAAAACAAAAAAGCCCTTTGTGACTGCCATGTATCCGGTGTCCCAATACAATATATGTACATAAGCCCGACAGGTGCATGACTTTACCCCCGTCAGAATCGCCAGTCTGAAGTACATTGTACACCTGAGATTCAAACACAGTATTTTCCCTCCTGTATTAGTGAACGGGTCTATGCAAGCAATTTTGTACTCTGTACATGCATGTACATGTCTGTGCACTAATGTTGTAAAACAAACATTTCTAAAGAGCTGATGAAACTGGGAAGCAGCCTGAAGCAGACAGAGCAGGCCGAGGGCAGTGACTTTGTGGAAGATGCCTCGCAAGCCATAGACCGTGCGTCCCACCTACCAAACAAAGTCTTCCTGTGAGCAATTTGCTTCCCCTGGGGGAGGGGTGGCACATGACCACTTGTGTCACTACTGTGGTGCTGAAGGTGATGCCTGTCTACACAAAACAACACAGATACAAACACACACACAGGCATAAGGGTGAAAAGAAAAAGAAAGAAGTCGACAAACAAAATTGAAAAGAGAAAGAGCATAGACGGTCTTGTGGTGACGGGCACTAGCTAAGGCTTGGGGCATTCAGGAGCCTGGGAAGAGGGGCATGCATACAGGTATGGTACATGCCGGGTAGGGGGTAGGAATGAGTTTGTAAGGTACATGTATATATACATGTATATATACATCATCATAAAGACAACTGCCGCATGCAAATGCAATGGCTTATCAGACCTTTTACTCTTCAACCTTCCAAAACCCTTTTAATTTTGCCTCCCCACTGTTTATCAAAGAGTTAACCCCCTGTGGGGCAAAACCCTCCAAGTAATTGTGGCTGAGGGTGTGCAAGTCCCTATTTGGAAGGTGTACACTATTTCGGCTTATTTGCTATCATTGAAGACCTAAAGTTTCCATAAAGAAGTCTATCAGTATGTCCACAGTGAACACGGTTTGTATTATGTACTGGGTGTATAATGCTAGGAAATCAAGAGCTGTGTCACTTTGTTCGATGTGATGGAAAATTCATCTTTTGAGCATTCAGGCACCAGTGATGAAAGTTTGGACATTCCTTTTTAAAGATTCAATTCTAACCAATCATTGTACAGTGGCGTATCCAGCTTTGGGGAGGAGGCGGGACGAAAGGGAATTTTACAAAAGAGGGTCCAAACCTTTACTGTTTTTAACAATTCAAAAGAATCCTCATCCCCCCAAAGGGTTAACACTGCCGTTTCAAAAGTGTTAGATCTTTCAATTCCTAAAAAAAAATCACATATTTAAAAAAATTGGCAACATGTCACAAGGCAGGGGTGGTGTGAGACAGCAAGAAAGCACAACTTAGTCTCAACAGACACCAACTCGGACTATACAGGAATTCTTAAGTTAGGAACATGCCTTGATCTTCAAAAATCCTACCGGTAAATACAGGAAAGCAATGACAGAGTCTCTCTACTATGTCTACCATGTCTACGTCAAATTTACTTGAGCATGCAAGCCCAAGAACAGATACCAGTGGGCTGGGCCTTCCTCCATCCTACGAAATCTATCAATACCTCCTGGTGAGTTTCAAAGGATCTGGGAGGATTAAGGTTTCACTTTTCGTGATCTGCTTTTGTTTGACTCAGCTAACAGCTGCTGATGGAAACTGTTAGATTTAGTAGCAGGTTGTTGGTGCAATGTTAGGAAATGAACTACAGGTACGGGTATGAGATAAACATATTTCAAAACCACAGTCAACTGAAATGCACATACCTACAAATCTACGTTTCCTGATTGAGAGTTCCTGTAGGCGGTTGACCTTGGTGCATAGATGCAGCATTGTCATCATGGTGAACAACATGACGACACTTTGTGCAAGGAGAGGTAACTCAAAGGGGTGGCCAAACCTAGTGGGGGAAGGGGGTGCCAGAGGTCATGAAAGATGTCATTTAGTGCTTGGCATGACCACTCAGTTATGGTGGGACTACAACTGCTGGGAAAAACAATATTTCTCAACAAATTAAGCAGTTAGCAGACAACTTGAAATTGAAAAAAAATCCGTCAAACAAAGCCTGAAATCGACTATACGGTCCCCTTTTGGCCAGACTCTATGTAGATGTACAACTTTTTGAACCGGTCAATGTGTGATTTCCCTTGACCTGCTTGACCGGCGTGTCCTGCGAAAAGTCTGACTTGTCAACTGATGCAGTGCTCGTCAAAGGCCTGGTAGTGAGATTTGCACGAGAACCAAACACAGACAGACCCCGGGTAGAGAGATTTTTGAGGACACACTCAAGGCTGTATTGAAGAGTGAGTAGGTGGGACTATTGCAAGGAATTGGATATACGTGCCTGATCTCAAGATTTGACTGCAGTTGCTCATCTCAATATGAAATACAACATGCACACATTTACACGTAATGTACATGTATGTACATGTACATGTATGTACATGTACATGTATGTACATGTACATGTATGTACATGAAGATTCAGTGGATCACAAGTTGCTGAAACATGGATCATCGCCTGTTCTGGTAACCTTGTAAGTTTCATTGCGACAGGACTGGCTATTCAATATGCTAGTACGCTTTCTTATACATGTACATCAACGGACATTATTATTAATCCTGGAGGCCTGCTAACATGCAACAGAATGCAACAGCAGCCAAAAGACTTGTATTTCTTATTTAAATGTACTGTATATAGTGTAGTTGAATTGGCAGGGAGTAATGTCAAACTGCTACAATGCTAACGCTCTTGATGTAATGCATTGCAGTGTTATACATGTACTGTGCATGTAGTTGAATACTTTGTAGCAATTTCATCGTCAAATATTGAACTGGTTAGATGTGAACAAAGCAGAGAACAAGGAGATTGCACTTTAAATACACAAATTGTAGAACTACAAAATAAATTGGCTTCAGATTATCACTGTTTGGTACAAATTAAGTTTTTATGACAAAAGTACTCAAAAAGCACTTGACCGAGTGTTTTTCAAGTACAGTACTTTACTCCTTAAAACTTACATGTAATCTGAACAAACTTGGAGAGTGATGCCTTTAAACCATTTTGGAATCTTACATTTGTACACGTACCGTACCATCTAATGTCCATGTTCATCAGTTTATTTACACCTTACCATGCGGTTAAATGTGACCTGTTATGACAAAATGAGAGTAAAGTCGCATCTCGCTTTTTCCTATTTTGAGGTTAAAAGTCATATTGAAGCGGAGGTCAATTTGAGTTTTTTTAATATTTGGAAAGAATTGACCCATCTCCTATTTAATTCCAAAAATTCTGCAAGATTATATACTGAAAAAGGTAATTTTCTCAGCAATTTTGACGAGAGCATTATTTATGCCTGGTCTGAAATGGTGAAAATATGCCGGTAACAAAGACGCAAATGTCGCAAAGCTGCCAGAATAATGTCACATTGTCTCCTGGTACTTCCCCCTAAGTCATGTTCCATGTACATACCACAAGAAAGCTCTTTTATGCTGATTTAAAAAACACCAATATCTCAATTTTTGAAAATTCCGACTTTCAGCTCAGTTTGTGGTGATCGGTCACAAATATGTGACAGTGAACTTGGAACACGTACGTGTACTTGAAATTTACATGTATAACACTACAGCACTGGGATAGGGTTTCAATATGAACGTTTCAATACACACATGTACAATGTTACAATCACGACGTATGATTACACATCCTTGAACTTTTGCTTGACTCACCAGAATAATATTCTCAAAATGTTAGCCACCAGTAGGGTTAGGCACACATAGGTGGAAAAGCCGTCTGCATTTTCAGTTCTTCGGATGTCCATGTACTGGGGAATGTAGGGCACAATGCCTCCAAAGATCATGAACCCTGAAGCAATCCAGGATGCGAGGTTCGTAAAAGTGACTGCCGGCAGTTGCACCCCAAAGTTGGGGAAGACGTCAAGCAGGTTATCCATGGTGCACTGCAACAAGTTGTGCTTGGAAAAGGAGAAGAAACCATCGATTTGAACCCTCCTCTCTAAAACACTTCTTCTCACTTAATGTTCCTCCTCTCTTCTCTCTGCGTTAATGCTTGCCCATTGGAGCAGTCTCGGTGGCATCTTTAGCCTTTATTTGGATGTAGACATTTCACACGATGCGATGTCAGTGCATGGCTTCTTGAAGAGCAATCCATACCCTGTGGCTTGGAGAGCTTTTGCATCAGTTCCGAGAAGGTAGATAAACTCTTTCTTTTGGGGGGAGGGTAACTCCGTTTAACAGCAGCTATTTTTCACGCATTCATTCCACTGACGTTCTGTGCACACAACAACAACATGAGAATGGATCAGGAAAATCAAGTACATGTACAACAGTGTTTTTAATACAACGTACATGAACAGGGGTGGACTGGGACTGAAGGGGAAATGGAAGAAAACTGACAGGCCTAATTTTTCTGTTCAAAATAACTGATACATGTAGCTTCTTTTAAATATCTAATCAAAAGTTGGTCATTCCCCCATCAATATACATGTACATGTAGTCTTGACCAAGGTATACATATAGGGCTCGTCCCATTGTTAATACAGTTGACCCGCCACTGATAAAATTTCCAAATAGTGGCTTATCTTGTGCACATCCACTGCCCATAACACTGTGTTGTCACACTGCTCCAGGCACATGTGTAGGCACCTGCCTACATACCCATTATGTACAATGCACCTGTAGCACTATGTGTACTCTCTCAATCACTTGAGACAGGGTCAACTGGAAAGGCCAAGGTTAGCCGCATGGCATGTACTGTTGCATGTGCCACATGGCAGTTTCGTGGTGGGATGCTCAGTGGTTTGCAGTACATGTGCATGTACACGAATGTACCTGTACATGTACGTACGTACTACCATATCATATGGGGGCTAGCATTCTTAACAAGGTGGCTCATTTGCCCTGGTGTGCATGCATTTCACCCACATGTAAATCTCTCCCTTGGACAAAAAGCCAGAGAGACCGCCCTGGACATGGCTACCATCAATAATAATCCCCACACATTTTGTTGTATTCTATAACCCGCTTTTGGATGTTCAACTGTATTTTCACTTTTGACAATAAGACTACACGTGACATTGTTAACAGGTTTTACGTAAAAATATGGAAATTTTGAAGGATTATTTTCAAGCAGCTTCAAAAACTGAAAGTAGGAGACAATCCGCATCCGTGTGTCTTGCTTCTTCTTTTTTTTTCATGTTGCCTTTCTCATGAACAATGAACAATGATGTCAATTGTTAATGTCATTGTCATCCGTTGACATCTCTCGGTGTCATGGATGTACCAGTAGGCCAAGAATATTCCTCCGGGGTTTTCCTCCAATCTCTAAAACTGTAACTGCTTCTCATTGTCGCACCTCTACAGGCTTCTTCAACTTTATCTTTAACATGATTTTTTTAATGACCTTTTTGATGTTTTTGGTGATTTCAATTACGATTTAAATCAATCGATTTAAATCAAACAACCTTGACCCCTACTGTTGGGCATAAGCCTTACCGCTGATAGCACATAATGGTAGAAAAGCACTGTGCGAAGGAAGAAGGGGTCATGTTTGCAAAATCACCGTTGCAGTCTTAGTGATAAGGCATCACGTGCAATCGCTCTATCTTTGCACAAGGGTCATTCCGTGTCAACACAAGCATTTCACAATAGTGTGCCTCCTGGGGTTTGCAATGCATCTACCAATCACAGTGCTCTTTCAACCCAATGTTTGGAAATGGTCGACAGATTTCGCACACTGTGATGGGTCCACGCGTTGCAAACTCTTGAAGGCGCACTATATTCAACAAGCTTTTGGACCTGACTGTCACGGATTGAAACAAAATTTGGTGTGCTGGTTGGATTACTTGAGAAACCCCCATAACTGAAATTTTATGTCAATCCATCAATTTCTTGTTGAGATTGAGAGCAAAAGAAACAAAAAATAAACTGCACTTGTTTGACCATGAAAAACCCATGTCCCAGGCTGCAAGTTGTTGCTGATTGAGGAGAATAATGACTGAGATCAGATTCAATGTAATTTGGAGCAGGAGATGGGGTTTGGGTAGTTTATTTCGATTTGAAAAGAAAAGTGGTGTGATGCATTCACTTTCGTATCTCGTTTGCAAACAATTATTTTAATTGACTGAAATAGTTTCGGTGAAGGCAGCAGATCATGTAACTGACCATTTTTTCCCTCAAATTTTATATTGTCGTAAAAACCAGTCACCTGCATTTCAGGGCTTGTTTGACCCTGAAAATCCCCATGCCCAGGGTTGCCTCTGAGGGAGAGTTGTGTGTGTAACTGTGAAAGGGCATGTACATGTACAATGTACATAAGGATGTGCATGGTGGCGCTTTTTTTGTCCCTTTTGCACTATAGGGGTAAGTATCCTGAAGAGAATGGCAAACGGTTATTTATTCAGCGTTGGAAAATCAAACGGTTATTTGGTCAACACTGAATGCCTAATGTCGAATGAGAAACTAACTTCACATCAGTCGTGACAGTCAGGTCCAAAAGCATGTTGAATTGACACGGAATGACCCACAATATAACATTAACAATCGGTCAATCTTGATAGGCATGACCAGGTCGGGAACCAAATCACAATCTAGTGACAACTATGCATACGCTGCTCGATTGTGCAACAATGACGTAATTTTTGAACTATTTTTAGATCACAGTTTGCAGATGACATCGATCTCTTTATCAGCCAAAAACTTCAATACAGACTGCTCTCATTGATAAAATTTACAGGAAACATGCCACCCAAGATCTACTGTACGTGAAACTTTCCTTTCACTTTGTATTTCTAAAAGCAGATCAAGGAGATTTTTCGGTCGAATCTTGCACTGGATGTGTTGAATTTGGTGGGCAGGTGAGTCCAATTCAGCTGATGAAAACATTTTCACGAAAAAAATAGAGCTTTACCAAAGTTTACTTTATGCGTGAAAATGTTGCTTTTAAAAATCTCCATCGATTCACTGTGGAAAATTTTATGTTTACCTTGGCGATTTTCCAAAAGAGTGATGAGAAATAATTTTACCATAGACTCCCACGGTAACAGCAATGGTGGCCATGTTGGCTGCCAGCATTTCATATCTCGTTATTTTCCCAAAATATCACAGGAAAATTAAGCCAAAGCCTACATGTCCATGTACCCCCAGAACCAGTGAGAGCGGGACAGACGTCGGACCCACTGTTCTGGGGGTAAGCCTACATGTACAGTGTACATGTACGTGATAAACATCTTTATCATGTGACCCGATAAAAACGATGTCATTGCCGCTTGAACAAGCGGCCTAAACAGAAACTAGGAACGTCGCCAGGGTTTGGTCCCTGACCTGATGATAGGGACCTTTCCCATCAGCCGGCAATTATTTTTAAGTCTAAGACTCCACTTAGCCATTCGTAAGCCCATAGAGGCAAGGACACAGGAGTTTGAACTGCCCAGTCTGTAACATCCGGCCAATTACCACTTTCTGGCATGCCACAGCCAGAGTGCAGCGAATACTTGCTACGCACCATCTGTCTCACAACCATGAAACCCCTTTGTACCCTAATAGCTGCTGCAATTTGTCATTGGTAATCTGCATCTTTAAAACTTTGTGCACTGAGGTATAGGAAATTGAATATACATGCCTTTGTTGGTGCTTGGTATAATCTTATGACATCAAATTTAATGCTTGCACAGTCCTGACAGTTGCTTGCATTATGCTGTGTGTCCTAAATCTGTATGTGCAGTCATTGCCCTTCATAAACTCTTTCTTCTGGAGTTATTTTGGGAATAAATAGCCCGGTTGTTGTGTTTTGTTTGAATCATTTCTATTATGGCATTTGTAAAAAAGCGTATTTTATGAGATTTCACGATCATTCCCGGTGATGAAATAGCGCATCTTATTCCTAATGAAAAAAGCTTTCCAGTAGTTGTGAACATTTTGTTGCATGGCCAGTCTTAGCCAAATTTGTACCAAGTCTTTGAACACTGATGTATTGGACGAAGGAGAATAAAATTACAAACTCTGCATAGATAATGGAACGGTGTATCAAAATTTAAAAAGTTTATTTACGATGGCAAAAGTAGGTCTAATATCAGGAATTTTCTCTCTCTGTTTCCTGGACACATCAATCATTTGTACTTAATTGCAAACAAAAAACTACAAGAAGTATTGTTAGGCCTAATATTACTGGCCCCGCTTGTCCAGCTAAGATGCAGGCAGTAATCAGGCATCTTTGGGATGTTTTCTATTATTCGTCTGACTAGGCATTGACCATCATTGAACATTTTGAAGTGCCTGAGTTGCAACTCCTTCTGTGTCCTTCCTCTATGGTAAGCCTTACCATGGAGGCGTGATTCTACCTCCATGGATCAAGTAATGCCTAGGACGTAGGAGAAGGATGCACGTCATTGTCAGTATAGGCCTCCAGCTGTTTGCGTGTTGGCGTTTGTGATCTGTTTTCCTTCCTCCATGGTATGATATCACACAATTTTTCCAACAAGCATTGGAAATCCTTGTTTGAGAACTGGCTTACCGTCAAATTCCGTCGGCCAACTTCCAGTTCCAATGACTTTCAGGCCAACGCAGACAGGCAGACGTACATGTACATGTATGATGTAGACTACGCGTATACGGCCTCCACTTTCACAATCCGACGATGGGTACGTACGTGTGGACATACTGCGCTAGGCGCTGTGCATGTGCAGCATGATGCATGCTTCATTATCAGGTTGGGGATCTTTTTCATTGACACGAAGTACAAGCGGTCGTCATTCGCGGTGTTCAAAGCTCATTGTTCCCATCATAACGTTGACCCTCTAAAGCGTTAAAACGTTTTGTACCATTATGTGGGCAGAGTTACGATATTTTAAGGCTAAATACTCTATGAAAAATAAAATGGAAGATTTGAATCATTTTTAAACATGTCGAATCGATACTGTTCAGTTTTAAAAAATGAAACTTCGTTTTGTGTTACACCATTTTAGTCTGGTCCGGACAACCCCAGAGTACCTAGTAGAAATTA